ATTAGTTCATACAGAACCGAGTATTACCAATTTACAGCTGATTTTGTGATCATTGAATTTTTCATTTCCTTTCTTTCCACTAAAGGCAGTTGTAATCCAAGAAAGCTAAAACTTCATAGTATTTATCAACTGTCCAAAAATGTATAAAACAACGGTGCTGAGATGTCAATACCTTATTCCTGAATATTGATCAAAGCTTTTCATGAATCCAGTTTGTAATCAATTTAAGAATCAATCAGCTTCTCTAGGAGAACAGTATTGCTAGCAGCAATTCCCCAAACAAGTTTCTCACTCTTCTATGATGCAAGAAAACGGTATCCACTTGCACGAGTACATCTCACAATGTTGACAAAAAATCCATGCTCATGCTGCAAGTTATTGATGGAAGTTCAAGTGATCAGCATTCAATCCAAGATAACCAGGCACCAGCAACTTCCAGAGCAAAGATTTTCAAACACGTACATTTTATTCCCCAATGACAAATATGCCAAGCAGATATGAAATTGCAGCAAAAGTCAATCTGCATACGTTAGAATCCTTAAGTAAACTGAGAAGTACAAAATCTTTGAAAATGTCAAATGTACAAAGTAACAAGAAAACATGATAGTAGGTGATTTTATTGCAGAGCAGGCTATAATGAATTATCTAAACTCAATTATGAACAATGTTATCCTGCCTAAGTGTAGATCACTAGATCATGATCAGAAAAGAAGCCATATAATATAGGATTCTTGATAGGGCAGTGTTTATTACTATTGGGGATTGAACCAATACAAACAAGCAGCGGAAATAATTAATCAAACCCCTCAATGTGCATAAGAATTAAAATAGCAACTATAATAGACCGGCTCCAACAACTCACACACACTAGCAGGAATGTAAATTGAACACCAAGATTTGTTAACGAGGAAAACCTTACGAAGGGAAAAATCCCGGGACCTAGTCCAGTAAAAGAGTCATCCACTATAAAAAAAAGGAATACACAGTTTCTTCTCTAAAGTCAACTCCAAAGGCTAACACTACATCCAGAACACATCTAGTCCTTGGATATCAACAACAACAACATCATAAAGATAAATGCA